GGTAGGGGGCGGAGTGGGTGGTAAGGGAGGGGGTGGAGGCAGGGGGGAGAAATGACCCAAGCATTGTATGCATATATGAATAATAAAACAATAAAAATTAAATAAAAACAAGGCAAAGAACTTGAAAAAAAAAAGCAAAATGCAGCAAAATGAAAGTAATCTATAAAAAATTGTACCTGTAACTTAAATATTAATTTATATTAAAATTTGAGTACAGTGGGGAAAGGGAAAAAAAAAAGAAAGAATGAGAGAATAAAATCCAGGACAGAAGCAGACCTCACATATCTCATCCCTGGGAATCTCGTTTACAAACTGAGGTCTCTTTAAATGTACCATTTCCCGGGAACACAAGATGAGACCGTCTGCTAGTAGCATAAACAGGACTCACCTGATGGCTACTTTTGAAAAAAAGACTTTTTTCCCCCCATAGCTTGAGGTTCCATCTTCCCCAAATACATACAGTGGAACAATACATGGAGTTACCAGTGTCCTGTCCCCTACTACCAGCCCTATATCTAGCAGTCAGGGACCCTTTACAAGAGGAATGTGCAGGACATTAGGTGTCCTGTGGAGGGGAGAGAAAATGGGAGGATTCTTTCCAATGGAAAGGAGGAAGAGGATCTGCTCTCTCCCGCCCTGCCTCCTATCTAGCTTCTCCACCTGAGGGCAAAGTCCTAGAGGAGAAAAGGGCCTAGTGATGGGGGACAGTAGTAGGAGGCTCCCAGACTCAGCTAGGAGTCCTTTCCCCAGGTAGGCATGGAGCAGGGCACCATCACTGTCAAGGGGCCAGGAGGCTGGGACAGGGAAGATGTGGCAAACTTGGTGAGCTGAATCTGGAGGATGATCCTCATGTTCAGTCTAACCAGAGTCTCCAGGTCTGGGAATCAGCAATGACTGAGGCAACACTTCCACCGTCCTTGTGGAATGGGGGTTAAGAGTGGAATTTTAACTTGATTTAAATAAGTCAAATCTGGCATGCCTGTATTAGAGGCTGAGATTCGCACACCTTATATAAGGATGCAGCTCCTTGGCTAATATTTCCCTTCTATCTTCCAGGCAGTGATTGTAGCGACCTCACAGCACAGATCCCCGGTGGTCTGAGTGATGATTGAGTAACTGGGCAGTTGCTGACCCATATCTGCTCTAGGCTGATATCTGCTTGCTTGTGGGGCAAGCTTGGAGGGTCTGCTTGACCCAAATCCTTTGGCTACCTCTGCTCACCACCCTGGGCAGGATTAGATGCAAGAACTGTTGTGCCCTCTGAGAGTAGCCAGGATGGATGTCCTAGGTCTCCAGGTGACTAGCCATCCAAGTTGGCTCAAGACTGAGGGAATTCTAAGGAGAGGTGAGGCTTTCAGGGGATTGGTTGTTGTTTTGCTTTGTTTTTGTTTTATGCAGTGCTGGGGATTGAACCAAAGGTGTCATGTTCCGTACCACCGAGCTACATCCCTAGTCAAGGACTTTCTGTTTTAAAACCAGGTAAGTTCCAGGAAAACTGAGGTCTACTGGTTACTCTACTTTGCTGCCAGCTCATTGTCTTATCCATCCTTGGTTCCCCAGGATGCTCCAGAGTCAGTCCTCTGAGATTATGGTCGAGAATGAGATAGGAGAATTCCCTTCTCACAAGTGACTGAAATTCTGTGATCTCCCTCAGGAATCCAGAAGGGCAAGAAGAGGTCAGGACTGAGACCTGGCCAAGTGATCAAGCGGGAACACATTTGAATAGATGAAGACCTTCATTGTCACGTACCTGCTAAATCAACAGCTACTGGCTTTCCAAATTTTCTTTTCTTTTCTTTCCTTTTTTCCTGTACTGGGCATTGAACACAGGGCCTTATGCTTTCCATTTTTCTTTCTTAACCAACCAATGTATTCTCAGCCCCAGGGAACCAGAATGGGAGAGACCAGGAGCAATTCTCCCTGGCCCTCAAATGTTGACATCCGACAAGGTGAAGAGCACCCTCTTTGGAGAGAAATTAGAGGGCCTGAAGTCAGCACTTGGATCAGGAGGACACAGAGGGACTGGCCATGCACCAAGGACCCCAAGTTGTGTAAGTTTCAGGCCGGGTCTGCCACTAGAAGTATGCTCCTACAGGTCCCTCTTAGTAAGCAGCCCCAGGATCCCCTGCTCTGGCAAATCCCTCTAAATCCCTCACCACTGCCCAAGCCTCCATAGGATGGAGCCCCAGGCAATGGCCTACTTTGCTTGGATCTTTGAAAGACCTTTTCTTAGATCTTCTATGGAACTTTGGCTCCCCTTACTTTTTACTTTCACAGTACCTTATGAAGGAGCAAGGAAAACAAAAGCTAATTAAGCCACTTAATACAGAACTGAAAGGTTTAAATTTTCACCTGCAGGAAATTGGTCCAGGGTGGAGATTCAGTACAATCTGCTTGCCTGAAACTCTCCCTTCCCTCCTGGTTATTCCATGGCCTGTTAGCATTTATGTCCTTCGTCTTGAACAGCTATGTGTATTTCGGTGTGCCTATTTAAACTCCTTACGGTTTCTTAATGGTGTGTTGCATGTAACTGTGTGACAGGTACTGGGCTAGTCACTTTAAATAGATAGCGTTATTTAAGCCTTCCAAAGCCATATGAGGCAGTTACTAATAATTGTGCCCATTTTAGAGATAGTTTGGTGGGAGAAACGGAAGCTCAGAATACATTTTGTCATGAGCTGTGTTGGAATAGAACTGAAATCTTGAGTCTAACCCTGAAAGTGGTGTTTCTCCTCTCCCCTCCCCTCTCCTCTCCTCTTTTCTTCTCTCCAAAGATACATAAATGTACATGAAAAGATTTCGTATGCTATGTCATACCTCTTAGTAGTTGGGGAGGCAGGGATTCGATTATATATTTCTTTAACATGCCATAATTCTGTCAATAACACTCTATAGATTTTATAAATTAAAAAAAAAAAAAACCCACAACTGGGGCTCAGAGTAAAACTGGTAGAAAGCCTGAGTTAATCCTCTAGCTTCGCTTGCTTTTAGTCTCTTGCTTTCACCCCCATTTTTGGAGGTCACATGGCTAAGCAATACATTCCCATTAGCTTTGCTATAGATAATACCTCTGACTATGGGTCACCATGGTAATGGTTATCTAAGTTGTTTTTTAGGAACCTGGAGATAGCATAAACCATTTGAAGGTACTGACCCTTCACTTGACCTTGTGCAAGCATCCAATGGGTGACCTTTTGATGCCAGAGAGCTGAAACTACCCACAGAGTACACAAACATCATTTTCTGAGCATGGGTCCTAAGAAAAGCTATGAAGTTTGAATATGCATGCTCAAATTGATACAGAAGTTAGGCAGGAAGTTAGGAAAACTGATGGCTTGGCTGTTGATAAGGAATCACATCCTGGATTGAGGACATTACCCAATGACTCGTTCCAATTTTACTATACGTGTTACTAAGGCAAGCACGACCAAATGACTTGTGACATAAAGCAAGGTTTTGCTGACCCATAGTCTTTATAGGTTGTAAAAAATGACAGCATTGGTCTGACACTCCAAGGCTAATAACTCCCTGCCTATCACGTGGGAGGAGCTGTTAGAGTACAACCCAGTCTCTAGAAGTTAATGACATCTTCATGTCTGCAGACCCCAATAAAAGCTTTAGGGCTTAGGACCTTCATTACAGTGCTCCTCCTTGAGCCTGACCACCCTCCCATCTGGAGAGGGCACTTTTGCCTTGCTTTGTGTTAGTAAAACTGCTCCTGCTGAAGTCTCTGTGTCTATCCTTGAATTCTTTCTCCAACAAGATCAAGAACTTCCCGGCCCCTGGATTAGTAACTCTGTAACAAGACCACTCATTGCTTCACTTTTCCTTACCCCATCACCTTTCGCTGTGCCTCAGATCACTGTTTTTCCCCTTTTTTGTTTTGGAGGTACTGGGGTTTGAGCTCAAGGCCTCATGCTTGCTGGGCAGGCGCTGTATCGCCTGAGCCACTCCACTAGCCCTTTTTTGGGTTGAGTATTTTTGAGATAGGGTATGGAGAACTATTTGCCTCAGCTGGCTTCGAACTTTGATCTTCCTGATCCCTGCCTCCTGACTGGGTAGGAGCCACCAGCTTTTTTTTTTTTTTTTTGCATACATACTTCTAAACTCTTACAGCCTTTGGGCTTCTGCTTTCTCACAGTTGGCTGTCTCATGAATAAACTCTTCATTTTTGCAAAACTTTTGCAATCACTTCAGTGACTGGCACACATGCAACAAGCAAAATGGTCCTCATTAGGTAACCAGAGAGGCTGTTATTTATATGATCACACAGTCAGTTAATAAAAAGAACAGTAAGTCTGGGATTGCAGTGCTAGGAATACAGTTTGCACAGACTGGGAGGCAGCACTAGCTCAGGCTATCCAATAGTGAATTAATGAAAGAGCAAGAAGGAATATATGTGTGAAGAATGAGTAATTTGTGTTTAAGAGCATCACAGTCAGAACCAGCAACAAGGATGTCAATGGAGCGTCTAAGCGGTACATGTAAGTTTAACTGGTTTGTACCCTCAATCCTAAATCAATTGCCAGAAGGATCCTACTGACCTTTTGCCATTAGTGGCTTGACCCCCTTTCTCTTGTGAAGGGTATTCTAGGATAGTATTTTACCACCTCTTCAAAAAGAATCAAAGGGAAACAAACCACACTATCTTCTTGAAAGGGCAAGATGTTTTTTAAATCCTTCTCTTTCTCCTCCCCTGAACACTCCCTCCTCCTCCCCAAGCAAATAAGAGGCATTCGATGACTCAGACTGCTTTTTTCCCTGGGGGCTTTAGGAAGGGACAAGAGCCTGAGGAGGAGTGAGTGAAAAATGCAGTAGGAGATAAAGCTTGGAGTAGATGAGAATTTTCTTCCACAGTGATGTGAATGGAACGCCCTCTTGGGAACTCAAGGGAGGCAAGTTTCCACTTGGGGAAAGGAAGCTCAGAGGCCAAAACCAAGTGTCCCCTCTCTGTCCTTCCCCACTCCAGTAGTGTGGGACCCCATAGCCTTGCTACTCACGTCTGCCTCGTTCCAGAGCCCTGGGATGCAGAAGGACTCCAGCAGGTCACTGCCACACAGCAACAAAATGCGCAGTTCTGAGGAGAGAAAGCAAAATTTGCAGAGAAAGGGGAGGCCTGAAAAACAGTCCACTCTCAGCCTTTTTCCCTTGGTGAGCACAGAAGTCCCGCACCCATGGGCCTCCAGGGCCAGGGTGTCTGCAGTGCAGAGTCTCCCTCTTCTCTCCCTTGGGTTCAGTTACACCACCCTAGTCTCCTGGGGGAATCACCCATGCAGGAAGAGTGGAGTGACCAACTGTTCTGTGTGCCCAGGACACAAGTGTTTCAGGGCTAAACCAGGATGGCTAATAACTGTCACGGTGAATTAGCCAGCTACATGCTTCTTAAATTTCCCTCAAGCTTAAGTTTGGATTCTCATCTCTCCATTATATAGAGTTTGTCTCCTGTCACAAGTACCAGTGAGATCTGGGGAAGTTGGGTGTGTGTGTTAGGGAGGGCGGGGCACTGAATGTACCCATGAGGTTATGTCCTCTCATTATTAATGCCTTCTCTTTTTGGGACCGCTGTCCTCAGCAAAGGGCTTGAGAAATGAGGTGGAGGCTCCCTCCCCTCTGGGATGCTTCCCAGAGGCACCCTGGTGGCTTCCTGCTTGTCAGTTGCTTTTCTTCCCTCATTAAGCTCATTCTGAATTATTCCAGAGAGGCCCATTGTCATTTAAAACAGCAGCAAATGGTTGCTTAATAAAACTGAGTGGATGGGGAAAAAGAATACAGGGATTCTTGGAACATTATGGAGAGAGTCCCCTGCCCAGGATGTGACTCAGGGTGGTATCTGTGTGTGTGGGTCCCAGGAAGCCAAGGCTATCAGGCAACTTGTCTAAAACAATGAGGCAACCCTGCCACCGAGTTCACCAACTTTCCAGACACAGCTGGGACCATTTACCCTGAGGCTGAGAGACCGCAGCAGCCCACAGCTCTGCCTGCCTCAGGCCTTGGAGCTAGATGAGGACTTGCACGTGGTGAGCTTGCCTGTGCTGTGGGAGGGGCCTCCAAGAGGTTCTGAAGCAGGCGAAGGCTGCTGGGCTGACTATGGACAATGCCAACATCTCATTGTCCCAGGGTTTGGGCAACCCGCCCACCTTGGGGAGCCCCAGCTAGGGCTGGGAACTTAACTACTCAATATTCTTGTATTTTCTTTTCTCTCCTCCCTTACATATCACAGTGTAATGGTCTGTTTCTGGGCAGAAGCTTGTTTTGTCTTTATATCCTCAGGGCACGGCAGAGTGACCGGCACACAGTAAGGTGTTCACACATGGTGAGTGGGTGAGCCAACAAACAAACAAGCTGACCACAGAGGTGATGGAAGCTGCCTAAGAGCCTGCAGGCAGTCTGGGAAAACAGGTGGCTATTGTGCCTCTGCTTTTACAGCCTGGGATCCCTGCCTCCCACCCTGGGGAAAATGCCTGCCCGGTTAGTAGTACCTCGCCCTGCCCTCCGTGTCATGATGCAGGATTACTGGCCCACCCCACCCTTCACTGTGACAATGGACCAGGCTTTGTGTGGCTCTGAGGAACCACACAGGGCTCATTCCAGGGATCCTGTTGTTCCTTGTGCCCCACTTGGAGGCACCCAGGATTCTAGGTCAGTTCCCTGGTGAAAGCCTGAGGGTCTGTAGTTCTGGTTTCCTGAAGGCTCATTTCAGTGGCCATGACCCTCAGCTTTCTCTACACCAGTGCTTCTCTACTGGGAGACAATTTTGCAATGGCCAGGAGACCTCTGGCAATGTCGGGAGACATTTTTTGGTTGTCATGACTTGGGAGATGAAGGGGGTGCTACTGGCATCTCGTGGGTGGAGGCCTGGGATGCTGCTATAAGCATCGCAAATGCACAGGACAGCTCCCACAACACAGGATTATCTGCTCTCAAATGTCAATAGTTCCACGGTTGAAAACCTCACCTTACAGCCATGAAAATGAATCTATCTTCTATTCCCATTACAGGACTTACTGTTCCATCCAAATATAATGGGGAACTTTTTTAATAAGCTGAAGCTCAAAAATAAGGTCTCTGCCTTTTCTTGCAGGACCAGACAGATCTATTGGTCACAGAAATGTGGCCCTGACAGAACTTGAGGTACCATGAGTGGCCACTCGGGGGCAGCAGGTTATTGGGTGAGGCTAATGCATTTCCAGTCTACAAGTCCTTGGCCTGGGGTAGCCCAGGAGAAGCAGTCAGCTGTTAGGAACATGGAAATGGGGTCACAGATGCTAAAGGAGCTAGAAGAAGATGGCTTTTCCTTGTGAAGTGTGTAAGAGGATTTAAACAGGGGGCCTCATTTAAACCAGGGCCTCAAAGAGCACAAGGGTCAGGAGGCAGGTGGCTCTCTTCATCCTCCTCTGGGCCCCATCTCCTTTCCCAGGTTGCTCCAATCCAGGGACAGGAGCCAGAACCCGTGCTCTCCCTCCACACACCCTGTCCAGGAATCCGGCAATGTGAAGCCCAGACCCATGGCCCATCCTAGCTCCCACAGCACAGCAAGGCAGCTGCCACTTACACCACACCAGGCCATGAATCCATCTGCCAGCAATGATCACAGGGCTTTCTTTAGAACCCTCCCCTGACCCCCAGTTTCCCTTTCTTCTCAGACACTGGTAGACCTCATCCCTCTCAGGGACCAGAGGGAATGCAGAGGGGGACAGCCAGAGGTGAAAGGCTACTCCTCAACCCCAGTCACACAGTGGCCTGCTCAATAAACCTACTAGGGAGCAAGAAAAGTAAGCAAGGTGGGCCTGGCGACCGTTGCCCCTCACAAGACTGCAGTGAGATATCGTAAGGGAAAACGCAGCAGGGCAAACGGCAGTGCTGTATAACACAGATTAGCATGGCCTCTCTGGTAGCAGGGATTGCTTTCTGAGTAGGGGGGACACAGTGGCCTAACACAAGCCTTGGGTGCTAGGAAGGCAAACAAGGTCACAGATGAAGTCTGGCTACAAATTCTCTGGAGTAAAGGAAGAGAAATACACAGTAGAATACAATGACCAATTCTGGATGCTCTGAGCTCTCCTGGTCAAGGAGACTGGCAGGGAGGTGACAATTCCTGGCCAAGTGCAGAACTGCAGGGAGATGGAGTGCCTTAGGAGTACTTTCATCCCATCTCTGCCTTTGGATGCCCTGGGTGTGCAGAACCTGGGTCAAGTCTCCTGCTTGCTTTGGGGAGCAGCCAGGAAGCTAGGTACATGCCTTCCTGTGGCCTTTGGACAGCCATGAGCTGATAAGTAAAGTATATTAAAGTCTAGTAAAATAACTAGAAAGTGAAGGAGTTTCAGTATTCATTACCTTTGTTTCATACAATTTAAGTGTAAATTAATATAACTTAATTTTTAGTAATGGCTGTGTTTAAACAACTAGTGAATAAAATTTCTGAAAATTTTATGACTGATTCTAGAAAACCAATATGAACCAACTCAAGTGCATCACTGCACCTCAGATCAGAGGACAAGACACACCTTGTAATGATAGCACATCTGCTGGACCTCCTGGGAGAAGGAGGTGCTCAGTTACATCCCCGTCTCCAGGTCTCTGGGGGTCGTGACATGAGTTCTGACCCCCAGCTTTGAGACAGAGGATGACCAGGAAGAATGCCTAACGTTTAAGATGGAGCGTGTCTGTCGGACACTAAGTCCTGGAGATGAGGCACTCCTCTTGTCACTGACCCTCATTGTCACCTGGTACCTGTGCCAGCTTCAGCTCCATTTTGCCTTCTTCCTGCCCTTTCCCCAGCATCAGGAGCTTGGGTCATTCACTTGGGTCTCCCATTGGGCTGATTTTTTTTTTCTCAGCTTACTTACTCAGGCTGTCACCTTCTTCCCAACCTGATGTCTCTATGTAACCATCCTCCACCAACTGTGGCCTGGGCTTGGGCACAGCATTCACACAGACAGTGGGATACCTTATTCTCAGTCCAGTGCTGCAGGCAGGCCATGGAGGTGGCTTTCAGCCAACCCCTACCTCCTTCTCTAACCTTCAGGTGCTGAAAACCTCTTATAAGGAAGGCAGGTAAGCTCTCCTGCCTTGCTTATGTGCAGTGTCCATGGCCAAAGAATGGTCTCTCCAGCTGGCGCTCAAGCTCAACTTTCATTCTAGATGAGGGAGAGGAGGCTCTGAAGGGAAAATTGCCAATTGATCCAGTTCCCTATCTCCTGGGAACTGGCCTGGGTCCAGTTAGAATATGTTAAAGGGGAGCTAAGTAAGAATGCCATCCTAGCTCAGGAATGACCATTGTTCCATGAGCAGATCATGCTGCAAACACAGCCCAGGATTTTTAATTCTCTGCCCTCTCCCATGGTGCCAGTGGTACAGGCAGGTGGCTCCAAGCTTTCGCAGCCCCACTCACCAATCTCCTCGTACCGCATCACTGAGCCCAGATTGGCATTCTCATCTGTGGAGGAAAGAGGGGTCAGACATGTTAGGGAACTGAGAGCCTTCTGGGCGGGAGTAGTTGCAATGAGACTGGGGTACCTGAGCCTGCTTGTACAGGGACATCCAAGGAGAGTGAATGAACACATGGACAGGAAGCATCCCCTCCCACTCCCAGGGCAGGACCTCACATTACTGGGATTTTTCAGGATAGGACGGCCTCACTGGGGAGCCAATGTTGAACACACACATACACACACACATACACTCACACTCATGTTGCGCACCTTCTGTCTCTGCATCTTAAAGAGGCTACCCACAAGAGTGATGTACTCAAAAGTTTTAGGGTCAGGTGTTGGAATCACAGGAGGTGACCCTCTCTTCTTAAGGCCTACCTGGTGTAAAGAACCAGTAAAACTGGGGATGTTGAGAGTTTTCCATGGTGGAATGCAGCAAGATCTCAAGGGAAACCTTGAAAGGCTGAACTTCTGACATACTCTGTGTGTGCAACACTTACCCAGAGGTACACAATGTGCACAAGTGTGCACACATGCAAGCCCACAGAAGTGCTATCTTGACCCTTTCCTCTCTCTCTCTGCCACCTCAACCATCCTTCTTGGTTCCCACTCAACGTGCCTGGAATTGGAAATCTGAGTAATGGCAGAAGTCAGCCCCAGAGAATAAAAGGAATAAAGTCTAAGCCTTCAACTACTCTGTGAGTTAAATTTGGAGTTTTCAGGAGACAGACCCCCAGGGACTATAATACTCTTATCCATGACAAGTCTTTGGTGGGGGAGGGAGCAGCCAAAGGACAGATGGAATTAAGAAAAGAGCACGTGCCTCTTGGTAGGAGGACAGACATTGCTGGAGCTGGGCTGACCTGCAGGAGATTCCAGGCCCCATTGAAAACCTTAGGTGTGCAGACATCTTCTATGGAGGTACAGGGTGAGGACTGAGCACAGCCTGGAGGAGGGCAATGACCAAGAAAAGTATCCCAGGCAGCTCCAGACCAGGTTGGGCACACCCTCTGGACTCTGATGGTGATATTCCTGTTAACCTCTGGCCTCTTTCCACTATTGCTCTAAAAGTGACCATTCCATAATAGGTTGTCTTAGTCTGTTCAAGTCACTATAACAAAATATCATAGACTGGGTGGTTTAGAAACAACAAAAAATTTATTTCTCACAGTTCTGAATGCTGGAAGTCCAACAGATTTGGTGTCTGGTGGAGGGTCTGCTTCCTGGTTCACAGACAGCACCTTCTCACTGTGTTCTCACTTGTGGAAGGGACTAGCGAGCACTCTGGAGCCTCTTTTATAAAGGTACTAATTCCATTCATGAGGCTTCTACCTCCCAAAGTTCCTGATTCCTAATACTGTCACTTTGGGGGTTAACAATTCAGTGTATGAATTTAAGGGGAGACATGAGCATTCAGACCATACCATGTGTACTTGGGGGTATTGGCTGATGAACGAGAAGAGGAAAGGAAGATGACAGGACAGGGAAGGAAAGCCACTGCTTCCTTACCTACAAAGGTGAAGCGCTCCACTGGTGGGCGGACACAGCAGATCCGGCTGAGGCTTTCTCCCACCTTTCCCAAAATCTTGGCTAGGGAAGAGAGCAAGACAGACAGAGACAGAGAGACAGAGCCACTCACAACTTAATTCATGTCAGCTCAGCATCGGGGCAACTGTAAATAACAGGGATGCACTGTATAGCGCTGGAGATTGGCAGAAAGAAGGAGGGTGAAGAGAAAGAAGTGTCACAGTCCGAGGCACAAGCCTTATAAGTTATAGACTGGAATCCATATTCTGATCAGGTTTATTACATTGATGAAAACATGTAAGGAGAAAAATTAAAACAGCCATAATCCCACCTCTAGAGATAACCACTGCTAACATGTTGGCATATTATTTATTTTCTCCCACTTTTAAATGTGTATTGTCCAGGTATCTCTGCATAGCATATGTTGGATAAGACTCTATTTAAAGGGCATGCAATGCTATTGCTTTTTTTCCACTTTTTTATGTCATGTTTTGAATGTCTTAAATGTCCTTCAAAGGCCATGTGTTGAAGGCTTGGTCCCCAGCTGATGACACTATTGGGAAGTGGGTGAACTTTTCAGGGTACAGCCTAATGGAAGGAAGTTAGGTCACTAGGAGCATGTCCCAGCTCCTCCCTCCCTTCTCTCTCTCTCTCTCTCTCTCTCTCTCTCTCTCTCTCTTTCTCTCTCACTTCCTGGCTACCATGAGGCAAGCAGCCTCCTTTGCCACTCACTCCCACCACCATGATGTACTGTACTGCCACAGGCTGAAAGCAATGTGACCAAACAACCATGGGCTGAAACTTGAACCAAAATGAACATTTCCTCCTTTAAAGTTGTTTGTTTCAGATAGTTTGTCACAGCAATGGGAAATCATGTGTCAGGAGCATTTCCTTACTGGATTTGTCCTAAGCTTATCCCTAGCCACTCCCCACCACTGGACAGTATAACCCTCACCCAAGGAGTCTCAGCCTGTGGCAAAGCACATACTGCGAATCCTTTCTGCTGGGTGAAGGCATTCCTTCTTATGCAGATGGTCCTCAAAATAATCAGATACCCTATTTGGCTCACAGAGATCTAGTTTCAATGACCTCTCTGGACTCCAGTCCAGAAAACTTTTTTGAGCCCTTCGGTGGTGCTGTATACAAACTGTGAAATTCCATCTGTTCTTTGTGAAGTAATGTATGACAGACCAATAAGATACAGAGTACGGTACCTACACTTGAAAAGTAGTAGTAGCAACTGTCTCTTGGACTTGACCTAGAAGCATAATTTAGAGTGAGGACCTTGGAGCCTGACAGTACTGAATGTGAACTCTAGCTCTTCTACTTTGAGCAATGTGCTCTCAAGCAAATCACTGACCTTTTGTGGATCTCAGTTTTTCATTTGTCAATGGGAAGATAGCATTTATATCAAAGAATTACTGTGTTACATATGAAAAGCACTGAGCTCTCTTCGGGCACACAGTGCTCAGTGTTGGGTAAGTGTTAGTGGCCCTACTAAGAGTGGCTGAGAGTGTGGGGATTTTGCATGCAGTGTGACTGTTACTTCCTCACTGTGTGACCTTGGGAAAGACCCTTAATCTCCCCGGGGGAGGCAGAAAAAAATGCTTCCCTTTGTATATTTAATTCTCACTTAAGGTAATTATATTTATATTTAAATGTTCACCATCACTTCTCTCTATCTCTGACTCTGTGTCATCTCTGTATCTGTGTGTGTGTGTGTGTGTGTGTGTGTGAATGTGACTATAGACACTCTATGTTAATGGTTCTCAAGATACAGAACAAGCATTACCTTAAGAAAATGCAGATTCTCCTCCTCCTCCCAGGCCTACTGAATCAAATCCACAGCAATCAGTATTTTAATAACCCCTCCAGGTGATTCTGAAGATTGAGAATCTTGACACCAATGTCCCCTACCTGCAGTGGGCTTGCTGGGCACGTTGTTGTTCTGGTAAACGGGCTGGGGAGTCTCGTTCTGTGGCTGTCCAATCACGGGTGTCATGGAAGGCGTGTTGACATTAGAGAGGATGCAGCCAGTCACCCTCTGGGGAAAGGGAGAAGCGCTGAGTCAGTGTCATTAGTCAAGTGACTTTGAAAAGCACTTATTTCACAATGGACATCTGCTTGTCCACCATGGTGAGGCAGCCTAGAGGCAAGGGAGAGTCCTGGGGGCGGTTCTAGACCCTGCTGAACATATGTCACTAGATAGTGTAACTTGGTGGGAAAAGCATGGGGTGTAGCATTACACAGACCTGGATCCAAATTTGGTCTTGACTCCTATCAATGTGACCTTGGATAATTACTAAATCTCTCCTGAGCCTCACCTTAAATTTAACAATATGCCTGCCTTTTTGATGGTGGTAGAATTGCATGAGCAAGCATATGCAGAGTGCCTACGAAGTGCTCGACAGATGGCAGGAGCTCCGTAAGGGACAGTGGATGGTGTAACCTTCTGTGTATCGTGACTTTCTGCCCTCCCTGCCTGCTTCAATGGGGCTCAAATGAGATCATGTCTGCAAAAGGGCTCTGCAGCTTGGGAAAGGTCACACTGTCACCACCTGCAGTCTCTGCAGACCAGAGATGTCAACAACATAGGCAGCTAGAGACAGGTGCCAGGCAGAGCAGGGTGTATTTGTGTGGCAGGAAGCAGGTGGGTGGGTTCCATGGCCTTTCAGGCCTGTTGGTCAGTGTGAACACACATTCCAGAGCCAAGCGGAAACTCGATGGGCATTATCCGTTATCCTGTGTTATCAGGTCTGCAGCTCCCTCCAGTGCTGCAGAAAACAGCACTGATAATGTATAGCTAAGCCAGGGCAGCCCTCCCTTGTCCAAGCTGAGTGGGAGAGCAGCTGCTCAGCAACATAGAAACAAAGGAGTCACTCTTCAATCTGTTTAGCTTCCCAGGGGCCATGGCTTACTCAAGGTCCTTCCTGGAAAGCCAGCATCTTGGGGGTTGATGGTACCCACCACCCTTTCTGGACTAGACTTGCTGCCAGAGGATTCCCAAGCTCCGAGGCTGGGAGACACTCTGGGGACCTCTTCCATGGGTTACCTGCTGGCAGAACAGCACGTGAATCCCTTCTGAGCCCTGGAAGGGAAGCCATTTGCCTCATGGGGTAACCCATCACTTCTGCTGCGTTCTGGATAGCAGGAGGTCGCAGCAGCATCCAGTCATGTCTGGGAGCCAGCTGGGGCCCGGCACCCTGCCTGCTGCCTTCTCAGCCTGCACTGTGGGCTTCTCTGTCTGGCTGATGGAACGGTTTGCCCTTCTTTTCATTATTATTTTACCTCCAGAAAAGAAAATAGCACATCCTCCCTTAACAATTTACCTGATGGTGAGAATTTCTTCCTCTTGCTGCATTGTTAGTCCCATTTGACTTGTTCTATTCCAGAGAAGAAAATGGCTGGCTGCATGCCCTGCCCTTGCCCTCGTCAGCCTCCACTGCTCTCTCGTTCTCAGAGGCCTTTCCGAAGACAGTCCCGGGTCCTATCTCTCTAGCGGGTCTACTTGCTATACCAGGAGTACCAGAACTGAGAAGGCTGGGGGTTATCAGGAAGCAGCTCTGAACTCTTGGCTCCAAGGCAGGGGGCCATCTGTAGCCTACATTGTCAGCTAGCTCCTGCCCATCACTGCAACAGCTGGAGCTCCTGGGAGAGCTTTTTTGGCCCAGATTCATGCTTTGAGCATGAGTAACAGAGGGAGTGTTCAGGAAGCCCAGGCATTTGGACAACAAAACAATAGCCAGGCTTTTTGGCCATTATAGCCAGCCCAGTGCTCAGGAACTCCTGCATGTCCCTGACCCCTCCCTTCCATTTTGGGGCATGAGGCTTCTCTGTGACAAAGAGGAGCATAGGTCCCCAGCTGACTCTAACCAAAAAATAGTGTGAAAAATAAACTTGTGTGAAGCCACTGAGATCTTAGGGATGTTTGTTACAACAGCATTATCTTAGCGTATCCTGACTGATATGTCCTTATGTAGTAATACAAGGTGTCTTTTATTACTCAGTTTTCTGAGACCAACACAGAGGAGCAAGTCAGGGTGACTCTCTGTCAGAGACCTTTTAAGAGGACCAGGAACAAATCAGGATGTGTATGAAGGGAAGGGAAATCAGTTCTATTTAGTTTCATGGGGGAAACCAACCAGCTGGTCCCCTCTACTTCTGCTCCTGGGGCCTCAGGATGGTCTTGGGCCCTAACCGTCACATCTAATGGAATAATGCTCCGCTGTGTGTTGGTGGAGAGTAGGGAGATCGGGGTGCCCTCCAAGGAAAAGAGGGTGACCGCCCTCCAACAACAAGAATGGAGATGGGATGCAGGCTCTCCCTGGGTCAGTACACCTTCTTGATTGTTATTTGGGGTGGGAAGGGCTCTGCATCAGAGTCTGGGGAGATGGGCATAATTTATTGCTGTCTTGGTTGGTTTTGTCCGTTTTCTCTCCATCGATGGTAACGACTTTTCATCCCGTCATTTTTGGTATTGATCTGGGGTGGGCGCTCTGCTCCCTACACACTCTGGCCAGTGCTGCTGGCTATTGGAACCCATTCTAGCCTGGCAGCCCACTCTGAGTCTGTGTAGTCAAGCCCCAATTCCGGCCAGGAATACAGTAGTTCTCATCCATCTGTGTTCACTAAGTGTTCACTGTGTGTGGTCTCTGCTCTGTGCTTACTTTTACCCACCAATAAAACAGGGATCCTGCATCATCTATCCATGATGCTCTTGTGAGGATGAATGAATGAGGATGAGGGGCAAAGGCCAGCAGGTGTGCAGTCACCTATCCTGAAGTGAGGGGACCGTTGGACCCCTAGCAAATGGGGTAGGGGGCATGGCTTCTTATATCAACTTTTCTCCTGACTTTCCTTGCCCAGCCTCTTTACTTTCTGAAGTCCTATAACTGTAGTCTCTTTAAGCCCACCTTGACCTTGCTTCTTGAGTTGATGAAAGCTGCCTAAGGCATACCCAGCAGCAACGGTATCACATCCTCTCCAAACAGGAGGAAGGTAGAGGGTGGGTGGCGGGAACAAACCTAGTGCTGGGTTCCTAATTCATTGCCTTTCTTGGCACCAGACTGGTCCATCTTACAACCAGCAGAAAAGTAGGAAGATGAAGCCAGGTGAGGATGCCAGCAGCCCCCCTTTCTCTTCCCTGCCTGGCTTCTGTAGGCCCAGCCCCTTCCTGTACCCTGGTGGTGCACCCACCCTTACCCATGGCCCAGCTTACCTTCATGAGGTCCCGATGGTGTTCCAACACACTGCAGGTTGTCTGCCAGGTGTCCTGGTAGCACTCCCATGGGTCCACCCTACCAGCATCAGAGAGAGGTTACCCTTGGTTAATATTCAGACTCTTTTCCTATTCCTCCCTTCTACAGACCAGGGAGCTATGGTCATGCTGGGTGCTTAGAAACCTCAGTTTTCTGATTTTTCAGAGGAGGAGATTTCCTCTTCTGTGTAATAAGAGGAGCCTGGCATAGGCCTATGAAAAAGATCCTGGTACCAGTCTTTCTGTGTACCTGAGGAACCTGGGATTCCTTCCAACCTCAGTACTGTGTGGCTTTGGGAAAAGTTAGGTGATCGCTCCATGCCTCCCTTTGCCCGTCTGTAGAATGGGAATGACAGTAGTAACTATCTTATGGCTTTGTTAGAAGGGCTCTGTAAAATATAGAGGTCTAGTGCTTAGTAGAGTGTCATGCTTTTATTTTTACCTGGAAAGGGGAATTCTCGGGACTCTCCAGGGGTCCAAATGAGACGTGTGTGTGTGTGTGTGTGTGTGTGTGTGTTCAGGGGTGACTGGCAAGGCTTAGAGAAGCAGCCTTGTCTGTCTCCCTGTGCAATGGAGTGCCTCGTGGTTGGAAATGAGGCACAGCACTCAGACTAGAGGGCACAGATCCACAGATTGGCCAAGTCCTCCTGCACACGAGGTTGAGAAAGAGGCAGGGGTTCAGCCCCAGACTGATACAGCACTCAGCTTCATTGCCAATTTAATGAGCTGCTAAATTGGGATATTTCTCAAACATTTTCTTAGCAGTTGAATACTCCCTGTCCATCCCCTGCCATACATACACCCTAGATTTCCAGAGATGAGATCTCACTAACTGAAAACTGAAGGAGTCAGCTTGGCCTGAACTGGGCTCCCCCTTGCCTCCGTCCCCATGTAGACAAGTAACCTAGCCACAGAGGTTCCTTGGGAAAGGCTCTGCCAGCCAGCTCCCTCTCTAGAGCTCTCAGTTCTGATCTTCACAGTGCCTAGCACAGTGTGAGACAAGCAGTAAGCACTCAATAAGTGTTTACTGAGTGGATGAGGGAATTATTCCAGAATCTTCTAAGCACATCCAAACAGGAACAGCCTCCTGCCTAGTGTTTTCCCAACTAGACCCACTTTCTCCAGGAGATCAAGAGTTAACAATACTAAGAGGCCTTACTTTGAATCTTGTCTTGACCACAGATGTATGGTTGCTCAAGTCCTTTGACTTTTCTGGGCCTGAATTTCTGCCTCTCTACCTGAGGTTGGTCTTGAAAGGATGAGAAAGTCTACAAAGGGCATGTGCTTCTCACACAGATTACTGCGTATGACCAGCAAGGATCACTGTTTAATTACTGCTGTCGCTTTCCTTCGCTGCTCTCATTTCTGGCTGTGCCCCTCCCTGGCTAACTGCATCCCTCATGTCCCTCATCATTCCTTCATGAGAACCTGTAGGTGTTGTTTATTTTCCACAGTGGGAAAATACAGTACAAATGGTGCGCCATCATTTTTTAAAACATCATCTTCTCATGCAAATTATAACGGTAGGAACTTGGGGAGCATAATTAGCATAATTAGCAAAAGCTTGTTTTAATTACACTCAAGCTCAGAGGATTGGGGGGAGCACTGCCATCTTAGTGGCACATCTAGTCTGAGAAGGAAAAGCAGAGAGGAGAAAGACACTCTCTGGTGTCATTTGATATGAGAGCTGTAAAGGACAGTGCTCCTAGACCTGCACCTCTGTCCAGGAGTCAGTGTGGGACCCTAAGGGAACCTGAGTTCCGGAATGAGCAACTGCCAGGGCCAGGGAACATTCTCTGAAAGGAAGTGAGAGTTAATGGAAGTCAGGGGAATGAGGCCTTTTGGGCTGTTTGGCCACGTCTCACCTAAAACCCAATGATGGGTTTTGGAAGCTCTAAAGATCACGCCACCCAACATTGTCACATCAGTTGATAATCCCCCTTTTCAGTCTCATGAGCCCTATAACTTGATTAAAAAGTAAATAGCTGTCAGTTGGGCCACCCCTGGGGAGGGGGGTCTACCTAATTATTGCCTTCACAGGGCTAATCTCTCTCCTTCCACTTCCCCACCTTCTAGGATCCAAATTATTGCTGGGACCCTTCCTCTTCCTGCCCCCACCCCCCCAGTGAGCTCAGGGCCACCTGCCTCTGGCTTCATCAGGCCAGCCTTACCTGATCCAGTCGGAATTCTGCACGGCCAGCTGACACATAATGAGACGGTGCCGACTGGACACAAGACCCTGGAAAGTAACAAAGCGGCCATTGAGAGTCATCCTCCATTCCCCAGCAGCCCTGGAACACCCACCCAAGTCAGCCCATCATTAAAGAGACACCATATTTTGAGGGTTAGTGGGAATGATGGGTGTGACCCTTTTACCTGTCTATTTGTCACACACATGGACATGGAGTGGCAGAAAGGAAAGGAAAAAGGGCAAAGATGTGTAGCATATACTACACCAGATAGGTCAACAGATGAACCTCTGTTTATGAGGCAGCCAGTGTGTGCCTGCATACACTCGATTCCAGTCAGTGAAGTGACTTTCTCAGAACCCAACAGGCTGTGTCTGTGGGAGGAAGGGGGAATGACCCAGAGAGTGCCTACCTTTTCTGGGACATATGCTGGGGAAGGAGGTGGAGGGTAATGAATTTTCCATCAAATTACAAGAGCCTTGGGCTGTTTTCTACTAAGGAAAAGCTTGCTTAGATGCATCTTAACCCATAATCAGGCACCAACTTGGCACCTAGGCCAAGTCATACCAAACTCATACCTACTCTTATCTACCAAGTCACACCTACTCTTCTTTCAACAAGCTTTGGCTGTACCTGATACCATGAGCAGCTGCCTGTCCTCTGGCTGCTGACCTGATACCAAATCAGGTCTGATAGTAGTCCTGAGAGGACAGAAGTCAATGCATGTTCTTGGGCATTTTGATTTCCAGGAATCTTGGCAGAGATGACAGTGGGCAGTTTTATCAAGTGGAGCATCAGGTAGGGACAGAGGGTGGGTGAAGGAGGAGAGGGCAAAGGAGGGGACCCACCTGTTTTCCATAGGAGTCGTGTACAGGGGAGACAATCCCACCAATCACAATGAATCTCCCAGTCTTGTGCAGATAATCTCTGGCTCTTTCTAATTAAGAGAAGAAAAGGCACATCAGGGAGAGGAAAGTGTGGATTAAAGGTGATAATTGACATCCATGCGGTCAGCTCAGTGATGCTAAAGTTTATTTCTTGTCACTTAAATAGAAAGTGTCAACTTTCAAAGCAAACATGGGTGAGTCAAAAGGTTAAGGAAGCAGATTTCAGCCTTAAAGTAAAAGCATTTGAAACTCAAAGGAGTGACTCCTGTCGTAAAGGTTCTCCATTGGTGGAGCCTCATGTAGCTGGTGGGGGTGTGGGGGTAGGGGGTTGGTTCAAACAAGCACCTCATGGAGAGTCATTAGAGCTAACTGATTGGAATTTACTCTTCTTGTCACTTGCAGAAATTCTAATGAGGAGTAATGGTTTTCAAGAAAGAAAGCCTCCTTATAATATGAAAGATGGGCTGATTGCCTCATCTTATCACTCAAAGGAGAAATGCCACCAAAACAAATTTAAAGGGCCTCATCCATAATTATGATTGGTGGAAAAAAAGGTCTGGCCAGATAGAAACTTCTTTTCCTTTGGAAGGAATGTGATGATGCTTATTCAAATTTATCAGTCAAGCCCAATTTCGTGATAAAGCTCAGCTAAGTAGGAAGAAGCTGAAAAATCTAGTCATATATATATATATAATTTCCATATGAGCGAGTTTATTGTACAATTCCAAGAGGGCTTGAGCCTGTACCATTGAGGCTATGGGGCACAGAGTTTATAGTGAGGGGATTTGTATGTGATGGAGGCCTGTGTAACAAGGCTGGTGTGTGTTTTAAAATCAAGTCTCCAGCATTACCTTTGTGGCTCTCTCTCTACCTAAAATTAATGCTCACCACACTTGCTTCCTCTTGTTCTTTCAATGTGAAAACTCTTTGATTAAAAAAATTAAGTCTTTTATTAGCACAGTTTTAGATTTACTGAGTAATTGAGTGGATTGTACTTAGAATTCCATACTCCGTCTTCCTCCTAGAATGGAGGTAACTCTATCCCACACAGGTTCCCCATTATATTAATAATCTTGTTATTAGTAATATATATTCATCTGTTATACTAGATGAATCAAATCAACATATGATTATTACTCATGGTTTATATTAAGATTCACTCAGTGCTATAGAGTTCTATGGGTTGTGACAAATATGCAATGACATATTTGAATAAATGCATCATTAAGTATCATAGAGTATTTCACTGCCCTAAAAATCTACTACGCACCACCTATTCATCCCTTCTTTTCAGCCCAACCTTTGCCTCTGTAGGACTGGGGTTTGAACTCACAGCTTCACATTTGCAAAGCAGGAGCTCACAAAGCAGGCTCTCTATCAATTGAGCCATACCTCCAGTCCATTTTGCTCTGGTTATTTTGAAGATAGAGTCTCGCAAACTATATTTGCTCAAGTTGGTTTCAAAGGGCTATCCTCCCTATCTCAGCCTCCCAAGTAGCTACGATTACAAGGCAAGAACCACCAGCACCTGGCTTGCCAACTTAATTCTAGAGACTGCCTTTTCTAAAATGCTATGTAGTTGGAATCATACAGTATGTAGTTTCTTTAGACTGGGGCTTCTTTCATTAAGCAGAATGTATTTAAAGTTCTCCGACATCTTTTCACGGATCAATAGCTCATTTCTTTTTACATACTATTCCATTGTCCAGTTGTATCTCAGATTGTTTATACTCCACCCACCAAAAGACATCTTAGTTGCTTCCAGTTTTTGGTGATTATGAAAATAAAGCTGATATAATATTCATGTGTAGGTGTTTGTGAAGAAATAATTTTTCAACTCAGTTGAGTAAATACCTAAGAGTATGATTGCTGGATGATATGGTAAGGGTACATTTAATTTTGTAAGAAACTGCCAAACTGTCCTCTGTAGTGGTTGTGCCATTCTGCATTTTCAACAGCAGTGAAGGAGCATTCCTGTTGCTCCACATACTCACCAACATTTGCTGGCATTGGATTTGTGAATTTTAGCCATTCTAATAGGTGTGTTGCATTTGCTTTTTACAACAGCAATATTACTTCATTTGCTTTTAAGTCTTATTTTGAAGACAAGTTAAAGGCCTTTTCATAAAACTCTTCTGATATTTTTAATGAATTCCATAATCATCCTCCCTTCTCACGGTCCTTCATACACATCTACCTCAGGGTTGGGACATCTGACTTAGTTTTGTTCATTTCTCTGAGAGATACTTGTTTTCTTTTCCTCAGAAATAATTTCTAATAATTTCTTTTTGTAGACTCCTGGTTGCAATAAGCCAGCTCTTCCTTCCCTCTAAAAAGCACCCTCTCTTTTCTCTTCACTTACCAAGCACTCCATCGGAAGCCCACTGGGCCCATGTGCATGCTCGCTCTGCCCAGCATCCCCTCTTCTGGACTTACAGTCCTCCCACATTGCTATGCGTCTAGTCCAAAGGACCTGGAAATTGTCTCTGAGGGTATGTCCCAACTCTCCTCTATTCCTTAAGGACAGGGCCAATGCTATAAGTAAGAGGTTTCAAACTCACAGTTGATACACAAGTGAGAAGCAGGCTCTGCATAAAATGACTTGCATTCAGCTGCATGCAGGACCACTGCCTTTTCTTGAAGGCTCAGGAAAACATGTGCTGCTGATGTGGTCCAGTTTGTCACCCACGCTGAAGACTTCTTTGACTCCTAAACACCCCGCACAGTGACTTGTTATTAGCAGCAGATGCCTAACAGTGTTCACCTTGAAAGCTCATGAAGCTGCCAGGTCCTACTCTTGCTCCTCTAGGGTGTCCTTCCACTGAGCCACGTTGGACCAATGAGCGACCCACTGTATTACTTAGACCACATTCCAGGATTTCCAGGGAGAATTCACCGAACCAATGAACTGCCTTAGAAGCCCTCACCCTTTCCTCCTTGCCAAGACTAGGGGCTCCTTCCCCTGACAATGTTCCCAAATTCACTGCCTTAAAAAGAGGCAGTTTCTGAATAACCCCAACCCTGATCCTGATCTGAAATAGTTAAACTCAGAAGCAGTTCAATTCAATTTAGGAAATGTGTATAAAGCATAAAACCTCTAGTCCTCTGTTACTGAGTCAGAATCCCAGGTTAGGACTTAACATTCTTTGAGGAAAAAGAAGACTTTAACTTATTATTCTCCAAATGTTCACAGTAATGAGGAAACAGAAGGCCATACTGATTGGTGGTTCTAAAGAGGGGAAAGTTGGGGTGAGTGCTATAGCAGTGACTTTCAACCATGGTGTTGTTCTACCACAATCACAGCATGAAATACATTTAAATCATGACACAAAACCTACATCGGTGTGTGTATGTATATGTAACTAAAACAAACATGTCACAAGACCTTTACTACTAGGATTGCACATTATATTCTCCAGTGCATTCTATTCTAGTAATCATACATTTGAATAAAAAGCTACCAATGGGTGGCAAACCTAAGTAAAACAAGTCTATGCTGCAGTTGAGAAAAGGGGACAAGAGAGAACAGTGTTGCCTGGGGGAGCTGGGAATGGCTTTTTGGTAAAAGTATATGTTTACTTTGACCTTGAAGGAAGCTAGAGCTTCAACAGGCAAAGTGAGGGTGAGCTTTCCAAGCAGACTGAGGAACTGCAGAAGATACCAGAAATTGTACAACATAAAGCAGGTTCGTCAACTGGTTTAGTTTCAATCACTATGGTTGGGCTGTGGGGGGCCCTGTAGGACTGGGGGTGAGGGTGAAGGAGCAGTGTTGAGCTAAGTAAGTTGGAATCAAACTGCAGAAGGCCTGAAAGCCAGGCCAAGGGCTGTGAACCTATTCTAGACATTGCTATTTTATCACTATGCATTCTGTGGACACCTGGTGGCTGGTTATTAAAATGCTGAATCCTAGACCCTAGCCCACAGTTACTGAATCAGATCTCAGGTTAGGAATGAATAGTCTGCATTTTTAAGTAGTTGCCCCAGGTGATTCTTTTGTTCTGGAGAGTCTGAGAACCATAGACATACGCAGACCACAAGCTTACAGTTGACATAGACAGCAGAGAGTCATTGAAAGCTATTGAACAGGGAAGTGACATGCTCTAAGTTGAAAGAAAACCTCATATGAGGCATAGTGAAGGTGGTGAAAAAGGCTTAGAAGTAAAATTCTTTTTTTTTTATTTGTGGTACTAGGATTTGAACTCAGGGCCTACACCTTGAGCCACTCCACCAGCCCTTTTTTGTGATGGGGTTTTTTGAGATAAGGTTTCTTGAACTATTTGCCCAGGCTGGCTTTGAACCATGATCCTCCTGATCTCTGCCTCTTGAGTAGCTAGGATGACAGATGTGAGCCACCGGTACCCAGCAAAAATTCTTATTTTAAAAGAGACAATCAAGTCTGACACTAGTGGCTCATGCCTATAATCCAAGCTATTTGGGAGGCTTAAGAACAGGAGGATTGTGGTCTCATGAAAAAGTTTGTGATACCCTATCTCGACAGAAAAAGCTGGGACTGATGTTGTGCACCTGTCATCCCGCTAATGGTGGGAAGCCTAAATAGGAGGACTGGGGTGGTGCCAGTCCTAAATAGGACTGGGCAAAAAGTGAGACCCTATCTTCAAAATAACCAGGGCACAAGGGCTGGAGGTGTGGCTCAAGCAGTAGCCTGTCTATCAAACACAAACTCCTGAGTTCAAACTGCAATGATGAAGGGTAGATAAGGCTGATGATCCATGGAAACTTTTCAGAGAATGAAAGAATTTCCTCCCCCTGCCAGATATCTCTGTCTTGTTTTGCCTCTGGGGCTTTGCAGATGGATAACTGTCCTGTCACCCAAGTGTCAGTCTTTAAGACTGTACTTTATGGTTGTACTAATATACTATACTTTATACTCTATACTTTATGGTTGTACTGGTTGTACTAATATACTATACTTTATACTCTATAGCTCATTAGTTGTCTTGTTATCCTCTAACTTGAATAGAATGTCAGGCAAGAAAGAAACTGGCACCCAGCTAATCAAAAGTAACCAGGAGCAGATAAGGTCATTCTTTTCCCTTGTTTCACAAAGAGATTTCAAATGCCTGAGAAGTCTGCCTAGACTAAGTCAGGGACTGTGGTACAGTGGAAGCAACACTGAACTTGGGACCAGAAGACTTGGAGACTGTAGGCAAGAAATTTAGTTTCTCTGAGCCTTAGATTCCATATTGTAACATGCTTTCTTTGCCAGGTTGTTAGGATTGACTCAAATTATGACTATGAAAGTACATGGCATACAGATGGTTTTCCTGGAGAATCTCACCAACACTGAAAGAATTAAAATGAACTCTGCACAATCTCTTCAAGAAATAGAAAAGAAACACGTTCCAATTTATCTTACGAGGCCAGTTACCCTGATACCAAAGCCAGCCAAGGGCAATACAAAAAAAGAAGCTAAAGACCAATGTCCCTCATGGATATCCATGCAAAAATCCTCAATAAAATATTATCAAGTAGATCAGAGCCATATATGTGTATATATATTATAGATATGAAGAATCATATACCATGAAAAAATAGCACGTTTCAGTATTTGAAATATCATTCAATATAATTTACCATATTAACAGATTAAAGAAGAAAATCATGTGATACTATCAATTAATGCAGAAAAAGCAGTTGACAGGTTCATCTTCAGTTATGATGAAAAAATACTTACTGTCAGTAAGTAGGAATAGAGAGGCACTTCCTTAACTTGATAAAGAATATGTGCAAGACCCTATGACTTAATGGTGAAAAGCTGAATGCTTTTTACCTAAGATCAGGAACAAGAGAAAAATGTTTGATCTCACCACTGTTATTCAACACAGTTCCAGCGGTTCTAACAAGCAAATGAGGAAGAAAAGAACATATAGATAAAAAAAAGAGGAAAATTAAAAAGCTGTCTCTATTTGTAGATCATATGATGGTCTTAGAAACCCACAAGGAAACCCCTTGTGACCAAGGTCATAAGATACAAGATCCACATAAGGAAATGAATTGTATTCCTCCATCCTAGCAACAAACACCTGGAGACTGAATTAAGAATCCTGGGCAACTTGTAATTACTCAAAAAGAGAAACACTTAGGTATAAATATAATACAAAATATACAGGGCTTATATTCCAAAAGCTACAAATTGCTGATGAAAGAAATCAAAGATGTAAATAAATAACACTTCTCAATTAGATAATTCAATACAGTAAAGAAATTAATTCTTCTCAACATGACATAAATTTAATGTGTTTTCTATCAAAATCCCAGCCAAATTTTTAATACAAATATAGAAAGCATAATTTGAAACTTATATGGAAAGTCAAAGAATCTAGAATAGTTCATAGCAGATTTATTTGTAATAGTCAAATACAGGAGACAACGAAAACGTCCTATGATAGGGAAATGGCTAAATAAACTGTGGTACATCCATTCCTTGGAGTTCTACTCAACAATAAAAAGGAACAAGTGAATGATATATGCAATAATTTGGATGCTTAGTAGAACAATTTTATGGTTAGTGAAAAAAGGCAATCTCTGAAGATTGAATACTGTATGATTCCACTTATATAACATTGTCAAAAGATTAGTGGTTGCCAGTTTTAGGGATGGTGGAGAAGCAAAGAGGGGGGTGTAATTATAAAACTGTATCTCAAGGGAGAAAATTGTGGTAATGAACTAGTTCTGTATCTCAGTGGTGTTGGTTATATAAAACTACAAGGGATTAAAAAAATCACAGCTTAAGTCAATATGTACAATCACCTTATACCAATGTCAAGTTGCTTATTCTGATGTTGCACTATAGTTACATAAAACGTAACAGAAAATTCTTAGTTGAAATCTAATCTCCAATGCGCGGAGGCAAGGGCTTAAGTAGATCACTAGTCATGCGTGTGGGGCACTCATGAATGCTAGGGCCCTGATGAAAAGCCGAAGCTCATCTGCCCCTCTGTGGCCCTCTCCACTACGTGAGGACATACGTTTCCATCTATGAGGAAAAAATTTCCCCTAGACACTGAATCTGCCAATGCCCTGATTTTGGACTTCCCAGCCTCCAGAACTATGTGCAGTGAATTTATGTTGTTTATAAGTGGTTCAGTCTAAGGTATTCTGTTACTGTAGCCAAATAGATTAAGACAGCAACCATTGGAGGAAACTGAGTGAAGGATCCATGGTATCTCTCTCTGTTATCCTTGCAACTTCCTATGAATTGATACTTTTTTTTTAGTTGTACTGATAATTTTTTTATTCATATGTGCATATAATGTTTGGGTGATTTCTCCCCCCAACCACCCCCCACTCTCTCCCATTTCCCCCCTAACCCCTCACTACCAGGCAGAAACTATTTTGCCCTTATCTCTAATTTTGTTGAAGAGAGAGTATAAGAAATAAGAGGAAGGACCAAGGGTTTTTGCTAGTTGAGATAAGGATAGCTATACAGGGAGTTGACTCACATTGATTTCCTGTGCATATGTGTTACCTTCTAAGTTAATTCTTCTCCAACTAACCTTTTCTCTAGTTCCTGGTCTCCTTCTCCTATTGGCCTCAGTTGCTTTAAAGTATCTGCTTTAGTTTCTCTGCGTTGAGGGCAACAAATGCTATCTAGTTTTTTGGGTGTCTTACCTATCCTCATACCTTCCTTGTGTGTTTTTGCTTTATCATGTGATCAAAGTCCAGTCCCCTTGTTGTGTTTGCCCTTGATCTAATGTTCCCATATGAGGGAGAACATAGGATTTTTGGTCTTTTGGGCCAGGCTAACCTCACTCAGAATGATGTTCTCCAATTCCATCCATTTATCTGCAAATGATAACATTTCATTCTGCTTCGTGGCTGCATAAAATTCCATTATGTATAAATACCACATTTTCTTTTTTTTTTTTTTAATTTATTATTCATATGTGCATACAAGGCTTGGGTCATTTCTCCCCCCTCCCCCAACCCCTCCCTTACCACCCACTCCGCCCCCTCCCTCTCCCCCCCACCCCCTCAATACCCAGCAGAAACTATTTTGCCCTTATTTCTAATTTTGTTGTAGAGAGAGTATAAGCAATAATAGGAAGGAACAAGGGTTTTTGCTAGTTGAGATAAGGATAGCTATACAGGGCATTGACTCACAATGATTTCCTGTGCGTGGGTGTTACCTTCTAGGTTAATTCTTTTTGATCTCACCTTTTCTCTAGTTCCTGGTCCCCTTTTCCTATTGGCCTCAGTTGCTTTTTTTTTTTTTTTTTTTTGGTTCACCCACTTTAATAACAATACATATACCATGTTACCATCATGGAATGTAAATTCAGGTTAGACAAAAGAATTTTTACAAGTGCACCAAAGCATTCTGTAGTATTTCAAGTTTGTATAGAATGTTTGACCAAACCAGCTTATTCATAATCCATTAATCACTGCCATTTTAGGTAGTCTATTTAAAATTTATGATTCTTCTAGAAGAAATATACTGCCCACATTTAAAACTGTTCTGTCTTTGCCTTTGTATTAGTACTTAAAATACCTTTTTCTGGGTTGGGGATGTAGCTCAGTGGTAGAATGCTTACTAGTATGTGTGAGGCCCTGGGTTTGATCCCCAATACCACAAAACAAAACAAAAAATATCTCTATTATATCAATATGACATTAAAAATTATTCTAATATAATAGCAGCAAACATATAATTCTGCAATTATAAAAGAGCTAAGTTGGAACCGTAATTAAATTATTCTCATGTTTAGAAGTTGGATTCTAAAATACTGCCTCTATGCAGCTTTGTTATAAGCTTTTCAGATTTGGTTTAAACACAAATATGCACACACACACACTTTCAGTTGTGAGAAGATGCATAAATTATAGTTCATGCACTTACATGAAAGTTTTTCTGGAGGCAGTAAAGTCTAGACTGAATTTCTCAAAACAGTTCACATGGTAGGCAGAAAAAAGCTAAAGTAATTGAAGCAAATGGTATTCTTACATAATATACAAAGCTTGTGACATCCTGCAGCACATGGGAAGCACTTCAGGGCTGTCCTGCTGTCTTCTTTGGAACTAATTTTGTTATAAGGGTTTACAAAGGAGGACATTTTAATACTATCAAGTACATTTAGATGACATGTTTCTCTGTGTTAACTTGATTCCCCTGAGTGACCAGGTTAGCAAACTAGTCACTAATAATTTGGTCACCAAGCAAGTTAAGCTTACAAGAAAAGAAATCATTATTCAAAATATGGTGTTATTGTCTGAATCCACTCAAATTATTTATTTCTGACACAAACACATAACCTCAATATGAGATGTCTAACTAAAGCAAGGACTTCCAACAAGACCAGGACAGCATTTCTTCTTCTAAGGTTTAGGTTTTGCCCAGAATTCCCGATACATGGAATAGCCCATACCAAGAGTCATTGCTCCCACAACGAAGCCTTGGGCTGCCACACGCATGTGGATCAGATGAATGGACATTTTTGTATTTCCTCTACTCTTCAATTTGTATAATCCATATGCAACAATTGCTGCAAAACCTGCCATTCCAATAGGGACAAATGGTGCCTCTTTAGCTTTTCGGATAAACTTAGATCCTTGATCTTCATCATATGAAGAAAGAGAAACATCTGTGTTGGTTGACATTATGACTGCTTGAAGAATCTTCAGAAGATAACAAGACCCCTTGCGACCCAACCGGCTTCTGGCCACTGACTCCTCAGTTGCTTTTAAGGTATCTGCTTTAGTTTCTCTGCTTTGAGGGCAACAAATGCTAGCCAATTTTTTAGGTGTCTTACCTATCCTCACCCCTCCCTTGTGTGCTAAAGCTTTTATCATGTGCTCAAAGTCCAATCCCATTGTTGTGTTTGCCCTTGATCTAATGTCCACATATGAGGGAGAACATACGATTTTTGGTCTTTTGGGCCAGGCTAACCTCACTCAGAATGATGTTCTCCAATTCCATCCATTTACCAGCGAATGATAACATTTCATTCTTCTTCATGGCTGCATAAAAATCCATTGTGTATAGATACCACATTTTCTTAATCCATTCATCAGTGGTGGGGCATCTTGGCTGTTTCCATAACTTGGCTATTGTGAATAGTGCTGCAATAAACATGGGTGTGCAGGTGCCTCTGGAGTAACCTGTGTCACAGTCTTTTGGGTATATCCCCAAGAGTGGTATTGCTGGATCAAATGGTAGATCAATGTTTAGCTTTTTAAGTAGCCTCCAAATTTTTTTCCAGAGTGGTTGTACTAGTCTACTTTCCCACCAACAGTGTAAGAGGGTTCCTTTTTCCCCACATCCTCGCCAACACCTGTTGTTGGTGGTGTTGCTAATGATGGCTATTCTAACAGGGGTGAGGTGAAATTTTAGCGTGGTTTTAATTTGCATTTCCTTTATTGCTAGAGATGGTGAGCATTTTTTCATGTGTTTTTTGGCCATTTGAATTTCTTCTTTTGAGAAAGTTCTGTTTAGTTCACTTGCCTATTTCTTTATTGGTTCATTAGTTTTGGGAGAATTTAGTTTTTTGAGTTCCCTATATATTCTGGTTATCAGTCATTTGTCTGATGTGTAGCTGGCAAATATTTTCTCCCACTCTGTGGGTGTTCTCTTCAGTTTAGAGACCATTTCTTTTGTTGAGCAGAAGCTTTTTAGTTTTATGAAGTCCCATTTATCTCTTAGTTGCTGAGCTGCTGGGGTTCCATTGAGAAAGTTCTTACCTATACCTATTAATTCCAGAGTATTTCCTACTCTTTCCTGTATCAACTTTAGAGTTTGGGGTCTGATATTAAGATCCTTGATCTATTTTGAGTTAATATTGGTATAAGGTGATATACATGTCAAAACAAAATATTTTTAAAAGTTTATGGTAAACTCCAAAATGCTACAATTTTATAATAGTGTTATGCAAATCCAGGCAGCAGCAAGCAGGCTGCATGAGTGCTCCTGGAACTTTACCCTTGCCCTCCTTTTCCAGTTTTGCTGCTGTCTGGATTCCAGGATTAGGAGTTGCTGGGGTGTGGCAGTGTGTTGTCCAAAGGCTGGGCTTCTCAAGCTTGGATGTGGATGTGAAGCAGCTGGGGTCTATTAGAATACAGATTCTGATTCTGAGACCAGAGCCAAGATTAGATAAGGAGAGTAGAGTGGAATTATTCAAGTGCCAGGTCAGATTCCGCCTGTTGTGATTTGGATATGAAGTTACACTCCCCGCTCCCCCCCCACCAAAGAAAAAGCTTATGTGTTGATAGCTTAGTTGGGAACTAAGCTATCAAGCTTAATTCCCAACTGGTGGAGCTATTGAGAGGTAACTGGCTTATGAATATGCTAACTTCATCTATGGTTTAATCCATTGATGAATCCATATGAATGGGCTAGTTGGGGTGGGGAAGCAGGTGGTTGGAGGAAGCAGTCACTGGAGCATTGAAGGTCTCTGCCCATTCCTATCTGTCTCTCTGCTTCCTGGCTGCCATGAGGTGAGCAGCTTTCTCTACTACACCCTTTCTTCAAAATGTTTGTGCTTTGCCGCAGGCCTAAAAGCAATGGAGCTAGCTGACCATGGACTGAAACCTGAAACTGTGACCCAAAATAAATCTTTCCTCCTTTAAGTTATCTCCTAAGGTATTTTGTCACAGTGACAAAAAAGCTGACTACTTTTATTTAAAATGTTGGTATTTTGTCCATCATGGATTTTGTGCACTAACATGACATTTAAAAATATTTTTTATTGTGATTATTGAGTGTTTGGGTGCACCTTGCCTTATTCTAATCTCAGTCTTGCCTAGGATTCAGCCTGTCTGACACCAGACCACATTTTTTTTTTTCAAACTATGGTTGAATTCAGGGCCTCAACCCTTGCTAGGCAGGTGCTCTGCCAGCCCTGTTTTATGTTGGGTATTTTCGAGATAGGGTCTCATGAACTATTTGACTGGTGCTGGCTTTGAACCATGATTCTTCTGATCTCTGCTTCCTGAGTAGCTAGGATTAAAGGCGTGAGGCAGGTGCTCTGCCAGCCCTGTTTTATGTTGGGTATTTTCGAGATAGGGTCTCATGAACTATTTGACTGGTGCTGGCTTTGAACCATGATTCTTCTGATCTCTGCTTCCTGAGTAGCTAGGATTAAAGGCGTGAGCCACTTTTACCCGGCTACAGATTACATTTTGACTAGTGCGGATTTAAGCCCCCTGCAATGCTAAGGTACCCACATAAAAAGCTCTTTTCTCCCTTCCCCCACCATCTGCACCTTGCATGACAAGGGCATTCTGAACATTGGCAGGAAGCCAGCCTGTTCGCAATGGTATAGTAGGGCCCTGGAATTACATTTCTTTGCCAAGCCTCCCAAAAGCAAGTCCATTGTTGTCCATCAGTTCTGCCCCAGAAGGAGCCAAACTGCTCTAACATTTTACAGCTAGGACTGATGGGGTCTTCAACTGGTTACCCTAGGTCCTGTGCTAATTGGGGAGAACCCCAGGACCAGAAGCAGCATCACTGTGTCTTGTCCTCAGGACCCAGAGGTCATACTGTGTCCCATGGTTTATTCCAGGCCACTTAGACCCAGTGGAGTCTCCCTTCCATGGAGCTGGTGCTGGACTGACCAGCTGAGAACAGATGCAACACAGATGACTTGCCCATTAATAAAAATTCATGAGCCAGACACATCTCATCTTCCCCTGGCGCTCGGTGAACCAGTGGACACACGTAATCTGCGCTGCCCTTCCAGGGAGGAAACACCGTGGCCATGGCATGGGTACTAACACAATTTTTCCTTTCCAGTTGTAATCAGAAATGACCCTTCTCAGTTGTAGTCACAGCTGGAGCTGCCTGTATTTTCCTTGTTTGTGAATTTCACAAGGACTCTCCGAATGAGTAAGCATTCTAAGTTGTAGTAACATTAAACGTTTGATAATCAGGAAGAAATCAAGCTAGGCGGTCTCTCTAGACAGAGTCATATCTGCTTAGGGATTTAAGAAAAGTATTTTTGTTTTTGCTTTCTTTGTTTCTTGAAGACAGTGTCTCTCTATGTCCCAAGGTTGGCCTGGAACCCATGATCCTCCTGTCTCTTCCTCCCAAGTGCTGGGATTACATACATGCTCTAGTATCCCTGGCCTCAAGAAAATAATTTTTAATGCAGGAGGCCATAGGTAGGAGGATTGCAATCTGAGGCCAGCCCTAAGCAAAACATGAAAGATTCTACCTGAAAAGTAACTGAAAGCAAAAAGGAGTGGGGGCATGGCTCAGTACCTGCCTAGCAAGCATGAGTCTCTGACTTCAAATCCCAGTACTGCCAAGGGAAAAAAAATTTTTTTAAAAAATTTCATTATTCATATGTGCATACAAGGCTTGGGTCATTTCTCCCCTCTGCCTCCACCCTGTCACTTACCACCCACTCCGCCCCCTCCCTCTCCCCCACACCCCCTCAATACCCGGCAGAAACTATTTTGCCCTTATTTCTAATTTTGTTGTAGAGAGAGTATAAGCAATAATAGGAAGGAACAAGGGTTTTTGCTGGTTGAGATAAGGATAGCTATACAGGGCATTGACTCACATTGATTTCCTGTGCATGGGTGTTACCTTCTAGGTTAATTCTTTTTGATCTAACCTTTTCTCTAGTTCCTGGTCCCCTTCTCCTATTGGCCTCAGTTGCTTTTAAGGTATCTGCTTTAGTTTCTCTGCGTTAAGGGCAACAAATGCTAGCTAGTTTTTTAGGTGTCTTACCTATCCTCACCCCTCCCTTGTGTGCTCTCGCTTTTATCATGTGCTCAAAGTCCAATCCCCTTGTTGTGTTTGCCCTTGATCTAATGTCCACATATGAGGGAGAACATACGATTTTTGGTCTTTTGGGCCAGGCTAACCTCACTCAGAATGATGTTCTCCAATTCCATCCATTTACCAGCGAATGATAACATTTCGTTCTTCTTCATGGCTGCATAAAATTCCATTGTGTATAGATACCACATTTTCTTAATCCATTCGTCAGTGGTGGGGCATCTTGGCTGTTTCCATAACTTGGCTATTGTGAATAGTGCCGCAATAAACATGGGTGTGCAGGTGCCTCTGGAGTAACCTGTGTCACAGTCTTTTGGGTATATCCCCAAGAGTGGTATTGCTGGATCAAATGGTAGATCAATGTTAGCTTTTTAAGTAGCCTCCAAATTTTTTTCCAGAGTGGTTGTACTAGTCTACATTCCCACCAACAGTGTAAGAGGGTTCCTTTTTCCCCGCATCCTCGCCAACACCTGTTGTTGGTGGTGTTGCTAATGATGGCTATTCTAACAGGGGTGAGGTGGAATCTTAGTGTGGTTTTAATTTGCATTTCCTTTATTGCTAGAGATGGTGAGCATTTTTTCATGTGTTTTGGCCATTTGAATTTCTTCTTTTGAGAAAGTTCTGTTTAGTTCACTTGCCCATTTCTTTATTGGTTCATTAGTTTTGGGAGAATTTAGTTTTTTAAGTTCCCTATATATTCTGGTTATCAGTCCTTTGTCTGATGTGTAGCTGGCAAATATTTTCTCCCACTCTGTGGGTGTTCTCTTCAGTTTAGAGACCATTTCTTTTGATGAACAGAAGCTTTTTAGTTTTATGAGGTCCCATTTATCTATGCTATCTCTTAGTTGCTGTGCTGCTGGGGTTTCATTGAGAAAGTTCTTACCTATACCTACTAACTCC